TAAACAAAATGGAAGAGAAAATTGAACGGGAACGATTCAAAATTTAATTATATATTCATACATATATACTAGTTTCTACTATGAAATTAGTTAGATTTTTGAGAATTTAGCAAAATATTTAATTTTCGAAGTCATACTTCACATACTTGTTAATATTCAAATTTATACTCAAACTTGCAAAAAAAATATTAGAGATTAAAAACTTCTTAATTAAAATGTTATACAAAACTTGTTTTTGATAAATTTGAAATTATATAAATCTCATCTGCCATAAAATATGGTGACCCGTAAGTTGATATGAAAAAAACGGTGATAGAAAATAACAATAGAAAGAAGATAGGCCCATAGTTCCACCGTACTCCAAGGTGCAGTGTGTATTAAATTTGTCATCCCGTATATTTTTGATCAGAATAATACAACTACTCGAAGACAGTAACCGTTTTTATCCATGGTAATATTAGGTTGGGGAAAAAGAAATCCATTAGGCCGGTCGTCGAAAATGTCGAAAAATAGGAGAAATGATCGAAGTTGACCGGCATGTTTGCAGTCGTAACATCGCCCAGGAGCTAAAAATCGATCATAGAACAGTTTTAAACCATTTATACAAATTGATTCAAAAAGAGGCTCGATGTTTGGATGTCACACCAATTAACAGGAAAAACAATAGGATGGATCGAAATTCCATCTGCGAAGCCTTGGTCAATCGCAATGAGATAGACCCATTTCTTAAACGGATGGTGACTGGAGATGAGAAATGGATCACATAAACCCTGTGCGAAAACGATCGTGGTCAAAGAGCGGTGAAGCACGGTGGCCAAACCAGGACTAACGGCCAGGAAGTTTCTGATATGCATATGGTGGGACTGGAAGGAGATTATTTAGAATGAGTTGTTTCCATATGGCCAAACGCTAAATTCTGATCTCTACTGCCAACAACTGGGCCGTTTGCAGATAGCAATTGACTAGAAACGGCCAGAATTGGCCAACAGGAAATATGTCGTGTTCCACTAGGACAACGCTAGGCCACATAAATCAACAGTGACTCGCCAGAAACTTCGGGAGCTTTGTTGGGAAGTTCATGCAAGCGGAGTATGCGTTTTGAATCAAAATTTAGAATATGGGACTAGTCGGTCCACTCCTTCTATTATCACCCACAAAAAGTTTCAATATTTTGAAAATTTTAAAATTTCTTATAAAGCGAATTTCATTCAATCTTTGCACATTGTAATTTTTTACCAAGCCTATATCACGTTCGAATTAGGTACCCATTGATCCACTCATCCCATATTAAGCGAATTGAGTGAACGATTTAATCCAAACTCTGCACATAGTAGTATTTTTAGCAACTCTATGTTAGGTCCGAAGACAGGATACATCGATCCACTCCTATTAACTTTCCCGCAAAAGGTCAAAATTTGAAAATTTATAAATCTCATATGAAGCGAAGGAAATATTCAAATTTAATGCAATATCATAATATTATAAAAATTCATAAACTTTATGAAATTTTTATCAGAAATTTATGATTACGATAACAAAAGTTTTTTCGGGTGAAAATCACTACTTCCCGAAAATATCACTACTATTTATTAAATATTTTTAAGATTTCCACTCCGAAACGTTTGAGAATTTTACTAGATATAGTCCTTTTGATACTGATTAAAATCAAATTATTTTTTGGAGGATAATTTTATACTTCATATGTGAAGTTTAGAGTAGCTAACTTTTCCTCCTGTCCATAAGAAAAATTTCTAAATACCCGGAGTCGGAGTGATATTCTTAAAGAAATTTAATAAAAAAAATTGGGGTATTTTTGGAACTATGGAGCCCCATATCTCTAGAAGTACTGACAGAAGGGGTACCTATTGTAAAAATTTCAAACTGTTCTTAGAGGTGTCCGTAAAGTACATTTGTTCCAATATTTTTAACAAGCCTAGATCAAGCCCAAAAAATGGGGTCTATAGAGCAACTTCTTTCGGTACCTCCTCGCATATGGTTAGCTCATTGATGAAAAAATATACCTTGGTCTTTATATTTGGAATGAATATAGATTTAATGAAATTATTGGCTGTATAGGTCCATCATCTCTAGTACCTACCCCAATAATTATAGTTTCAAACCATAGACTGAGGGTATATATTTGTCGGCAACTTGTTACTTGAAATTATTAGGCTGGAAATATATAGATAGTAGCCCTCGTACCCCAATTATCCCTAAGACTGTGGATATAACAATGTCATTTATTTTAGGGGATGAATAAAAAAAGACAAATATTTTTTATTGGATAAATTCTTGTAAATGAATATAATTCTGACGAAAATTAGTAATTCCCTAGACCTTGTGAGGCAGATTTTTTATATAAAATAAATGTAAACAATAACATTATCCTACACGACATTTGTTGTGTTTTGCTGGCGTATTTTGTTTATTTTGTTATTATTATTTATTTGGATACCATTCAAAACTGCCTCAATTTTCTACAACTTGTTTGGGCAAGTTTCTAATAACTATGGCGTGTGGTGTACCGTAAATAAACCAGTTTGCAAAAAAAAAAACTACAAACGTAATTTTTATACTCCACATATGGTTCGAGGGTGCTCATTAAGATTCACATTGTGAATAGGCTAGATTTCAAAAAAAACCAGTAAGGAAAGTAGTAAAGTCGGACGGGGCCGACTATATGATACCCTTCACCACCATGGGTATATTAAACAGGACTATTAACATGAAATTGGATGAAATAAAATATGTGATATTTATCTAAATGTGAATCTACCTAGATCTATCCATAAAGTATGTAAATCGACTTCAAACAAATATAAATAGGTCATCCGTTGGGCTATGTCTGTCAAATGTCGTGCAAATCGAAAGATATATAGCGACTTTGGTCCACCATTTACATGAAATCGGACGAAACTATATATGGGAGCTATATCTAAATCTGGACCGATTTTCTCGAAACTTGGCAGACATCATTCTAGGCTCAATTCAGTACGTTATGCCAAATTACGTGCAAATCGAAAGATATATAAGGACTTTGGGACACCATTTACATGAAATCGGACGAAACTTTACATGGGAGCTATATCTAAATCTGGACCGATTTTCTCGAAACTTGGCAGACATAATTCTAGGCTCAATTCAGTACGTTATGCCAAATTTGGTGCAAATCGAAAGATATATAGGGACTTTGGAGCACCATTTACATGAAATCGGACGAAACTATATATGGGAGCTATATCTAAATCTGAACCGATTTTCTCGAAACTTGGCAGACATCATTCTAGACCTAATTGATTAGGCTGTACCAAATTTCGTGCAAATCGAAAGATATATAGCGACTTTGGTCCACCATTTACATGAAATCGGACGAATCTATACATGGGAGCTATATCTAAATCTGGACCGATTTTTTCGAAACTTGGCAGACATCATTCAAGGCTCAATTCAGTACGTTATGCCAAATTTCGTGCAAATCGAAAGATATATAGGGACTTTGGGGCACCATTTACATGAAATCGGACGAAACTATACATGGGAGCTATATCTAAATCTGGACCGATTTTCTCGAAACTTGGCAGACATAATTCTATGCTCAATTCAGTAAGTCATGCCAAATTTGGTGCAAATCGAAAGATATATAGGGACTTTGGAGCACCATTTACCTGAAATCGGACGAAACTATATATGGGAGCTATATCTAAATCTGGACCGATTTTCACGAAACTTGGCAGACATCATTCAAGGCGCAATTCAGTACGTTATGCCAAATTTCTTGCAAATCGAAAGATATATAGGGACTTTGGGGCACCATTTACATGAAATAGGACGAAACTATACATGGGAGCTATATCTAAATCTGGACCGATTTTCTCGAAACTTGGCAGACATAATTCTATGCTCAATTCAGTACGTCATGCCAAATTTGGTGCAAATCGAAAGATACATAGGGACTTTGGAGCACCATTTACCTGAAATCGGACGAAACTATATATGGGAGCTATATCTAAATCTGGACCGATTTTCACGAAACTTGGCAGACATCATTCTAGACCTAATTGATTAGGCTGTACCAAATTTCGTGCATATCTAAGGATATATAGGGACTTTGGGGCACCATTTACATGAAATCGGACGAAACTATACATGGGAGCTATATCTAAATCTGGACCGATTTTCTCGAAACTTGGCAGACATAATTCTATGCTCAATTCAGTACGTCATGCCAAATTTGGTGCAAATCGAAAGATATATAGGGACTTTGGAGCACCATTTACCTGAAATCGGACGACACTATATATGGGAGCTATATCTAAATCTGGACCGATTTTCACGAAACTTGGCAGACATCATTCTAGACCTAATTGATTAGGCTGTACCAAATTTCGTGCATATCGAAAGATATATAGGGACCGTTTACATTAAATCGGTTAAATATATATATGGGAGCTATATCTAAATCTGAACCGATTTTTCCCAATTTCAATAGGGTTCGTCCTTGGGCCGAATAAGTGACCTATGCCAAATTTCATCTAAATCGGATTATAAATACGACCTGTACTTTGTTTACAATTTAACACCAACAGACGGACAGACGGACGGACGGACGGACATGCATAAATCGACTCAGAAAGTGATTCTATGCATATTCTCAAAAGGAACTATGGGTCTATCTCGTTTCCTTTTGCCTGTTACAAACATATGCACAAAGACATAATACCCTGTACCACAGTGTGGTGAAGGGTATAAAAAAAAAACTATCACAACAATAACATCTGTCTGCCAGTCACTCACTATGTACGTACGTATTACGTTTTATTATGAATGTAAGAATCAGGATGTTTTCTCTCAATTACTCTTCTCCCAAGAAGAATTGAGATGGGATAATTTCGCCACTGATAGAGGGGTTGATTTAGTAGTCTTCTTTTTCGCCAAAATTTCAATACACACATTTTGAGACGAAACCACAGAAAGAAGCGCAAAAAGTCTAATGGACATACCTGTTTCAGTTCTTTTTCAATTTCACCAGCCCTTATCACCAATGGACCACGCACAGCATATTCCATAGTAATGAAATTTGGATTGATATTATCCAATTGTAAACATTTTGAGGTATTTTCCGACATTTTTGCTTGATAATCTACGGCGGAGGTACTTAGAGCGCGACAATATTTCGGTACATACAAATTATTACTGACACGACTACAGCGCGCGCTAAAGGTCTGAGCCGGACTGAATGAGGAGAGTTGGCTACGTTGTTGTTTGTACTGCTGCAGTTTGTTGGTGTGTATCAACAATGATTTCCAACGACGAGATATATTCTGGCTATTGGAAATTGCCGGCGATGAGGAGGTAGTAGCTGGTGCTCTCAATGCATTACTACCAGCGCTGCCAGCGACAGCAGTGGCACGCTGGATAGCGGCATTGGAATTGCTAAGCAAGAGACGACTCATTGTTGTTGTTTGTTTGGAATAACGAGCAACGAGTGTTTAACAAAAGACGGTGGGGATGGTGGTTGGTTTTAATATGCTTGGAAAGCTTTGTTATTGTTCCACAGCTGTCTGGTAGTTCGTTGTTGTTGTTTATTCTTGTTGTTGTCGAATACTGTAAAGAGAACAAAGAGTAAATGTGAGTATGGTTAATGTTTGTTTGGTTGTTGGTGATAAGATTTTCGATGTTGTTGTTGTTGGTTTTCGATTGATATACGACTCTACCAATATTAAAAGAGAATAACAAACATACATTTTCTAAGATAAATATTTGATTTGGACCTTATCGGAAAGTGAGTGATTGACCATTTATTAACAGCAGCAATATTTGTCTTCGTATTGTTGGGATTTAATACCCATCGTCAATTCTTGTGAACAAAACTCATTTGATAAAAAGTGTCAACAGTTTTATTTTTAAAATAAGTCAATGCTTATATTATCAAAAAAGCTTTTTTGTATAGAAATAAACTTATCACAGGCACAAACCATGACAGTGGGAGATTTTTGCTTAATGTGTTTTAAGGAAAAACATCTTGTAATTTTGGGTGAGGGTCACTCTTGGTCCAAAGGTGACAGATAAGGCTGGGTTTTTGGTAATTCATACTAGAACGGTACGAAAAGTACTAAATAGTACTAAATGTGATACAATTTGAATATGGCGAACCGGTAGAGCTAGAACTTTTAAATGATGGAGTGTAGAACACTCAACTATATGTATGCGAAAAATACTAAAATGTACTTTGGTACAAGTTCGTAGCATGTGAATGGATAGAGCTAAAAACTTGAAATTTGGTGTTGAGATGTAGGGTCCATTTAAAGAGATTTTTTTGAAAGCGTGTACTCATGTGTAAGAAAAGTACTATATGGTACTATATTTGGTACAAATTTAATTTGGAGATACAAATCGAGCTAAAATCCTAAAATTTGAAATCAACATTACCGTTTGGAAATGTGTTACTTATGTGTACTAAAAGTACTAAATCGTACTATAATTGGTACAATTTGGATTTGTGTGAACCAATAGAGCGGGAACAATAAAATTTGGAGTCAGGATCACTGTAGGGGTGTAGGATTGGGGTCAGGATTCAGTTTAAGAAATTAATACTTATCGGTACTAAATGGTACTAAATTTGATACAATTTAATTTGTGGATGAATCGATAGAGTTGAAACCCTTAAATTTTGATTTTGGATCACTGTGGAGGTGTGGGTTTGGGGTATGTAGGAGGTTTTGGAAAATGGTACTACTGTGTACTAAATTTGGTACAATTTGAATTTTGGATGATCCGATAGAGCTGTGATCCTAAAATTTGGAGTTAGAATCATTGTTGGGGTGTAGGATTGGAGAGAACGTATTGGAAATTCATACTAATGTGTACTAAAAGGTATCAAATTTGGATTGGGGTGAACCTATAGGGCTGGAATCTTGAAATTTGATGTTAGGGTCACTGTTTGGGGTATAGGATTGGGCTTTGTAGAAAGTTTAGGTCCGTTGTGATCATCCACAAGAAGAGATACGGTGAAGAGAAGAGACAACAGACAGATCTATAGGGGAGAGAAGATTAGTGAATTAAAGGAGAGTTGAGAATCTTACATAGATGAATGAAAGAAGAATGAAGGTCGATGGTTCTATGAGTCAGACAGAAGATGTGTTACGTGCCAAGGTTGTATGTTCCTAACCACTTTATGTTTCTAATTATGCTGTAGATAAAAGCAGGTTCGGTTGTTGAGAAGAAGCTGAGACTCGGTAGAAAATGAGCACCCACTAGTCTGTGCCGCCTGTAAGCCAGGGCTGGGCAATGACACAGGAGATGTTCAATTGTCTCCGTCTCCTCCTTGTAAACACAGAGTCTACAGTAATCAATTGCATCAAGATCCCATTTACTAGTGAAAGCCCTGATGTTGCAGTGACCAGTGATGATTCCCGTCATCACTTTAACGAATGTTATTTTGTTTCGGGCTCATATAGATTGATGTTTTAACCGTGACTATCTTATAAATGTCCTTCGAAACATTGCGTTTTTTCCGAACATTCATACCAAAAAGTTGTAGGCCTAGCCGTTTTCCTACAGTAGGACCTAACCTATTTTCCCTTCTTTTGGAATTTAAGTCAGGCCACTGTGGACCTAAAAAAATAGGTTAGAGTTGCAGAAAATAGAAGCATTTTCGATGCGCTTTTCGAAAATGCATACCACAAAGTGGTACGTCTCGCCGTTTTTCTACAGTGGGACCTAACCTATTTTCACTTTATATGGAATTTGTCAGGCAACTGTGAAACTAAAAAATAGTTGAGCACCAGGAAAAAATTGGCATAGAAGGATTGTTGATTTCCTTTCCTTTAAATGCATACCACAACATTTGTTTCTACAGTGGGACCAAACCCCTTTTCCCAGTAGCACTCACATTTAAATTTAACTCGTTGAAAAATACAGTGTTGGAAAACGTAAAAATGGAAATTTATTTTCATTAAAATTATTTAAATTTATTTTCACGGACTTCTTCCATCCCTCATATGGGATTCCGCATTCCGCCAAAATACTGCTGTGTCTTATCCTTCCTATTCTCTGACCTTATTATTTTCCGAAACAGATGGACAAAATTTTTAATTCAACTATCGGCGATATAGATCCATCATATCTGGCACCTTCCCCCAAACCACCACAATTTTAAAAAATTAGAAATACCTACTAATACTTTCGACATCTGTTTTCAGTTCTAATTAAACATTTGGAATTTCTCAAGGCAGTTATCATTGACAATTACTTTAAAATTATTAACTATTAATAGTTGACCTTAGAAAACTATTTATTTACTGCTTGTTTCTGTAAAATTCAATAAGTTACCACGAAACCCTAACCTTTGAAAAATTTACCATTGCTATTGATTTTTCATAAATAAATGTATTTTAATGACCCAATCGAATACATTCACATTGAGCTTTACCGAATGTACATGTATATGTATACAAAATCCCTCAAAATCCTTCTTTTCGTGTATATGGTATTCATTAAAATGAATCCTTAACGACCATGGTCGAGGTTACAATAGCACTTGCCTGTATAATTTTTTTTTTAAATATAACATTAATTGAAATACAAATTCCAAAGTTTAACAACGACAGCTTTCGTTTACCGGAACGAAAACAAAAACATGAAAAAATAAGACATTGAATATTGAAAAAAAACGATCGATTACATTAATACATTATTTCTATTGAAATTTGACCATTGTTTTTTTGTTGCTGTTGCTTTTGTTTGAATGAAAATACAATTGCATCTAATGCGTCCTAGCAAATTGATAACAGAAAACCAAAATAAATAAATTGCAATATTCTGATGGACGACATTTAATCAGGAAGATGTGTTGTTCACAATTTGATTATTTACACTCGTACGTATGTAACTCAATACATTCCAAACAAAATCAATTCTATTAAAAAAATCTAAACAGTGTATGACGTAGAATGCTATATAGATGAAAATAAATGATGTTTTGATACTAGAACAAGTACAAAAGGTATAAAGTTTAAAACGAACAACTTTTGCAAGAAAGTGCAGCTATATCGACCATGCTTTCTAAGTAGATTTTTTTAACACACTGAAATAAATACCAAGTTGAAGCAAATTGTTACAAAATATAAATGGGAGGATTGGATCAATACTACTTGTTCCTCGTTTTATATCCAATGAAAACCCAACATATAAAAATACAATCAATTTAATTGCAAAACGTGTGAAAACCCGTGTTATATTAAAAACAGTATGAGGTTCTCGGGGGTGCAACAATCGTTTGAGAGGAAGCTCAATCTGTGGTATGAAGTTGTATGCTTTTTTGGGTTTTTGGTTAGGGTTAATCTACTACATCATTAGAAACCTAAAATGGTAAGGAAAGAGCAACCTTAGCACGTAATATATTTTTCTGTGCAATTTCCTTAGCCTTCGAAACTATTCTCACCTTCCTCCTAAAAATAATAGATTCTTATTCTTCCCTCCCACACATATACATATAGCAACATATCAACACTTGTCCTCTTCTGATACTGCTACTGATTATAATCCTTATCATTTATTAAATCAGTCACACACAAAATCGTATACCCCTTTGACTATAGGTGAAGAAATAAACGATTTGATTAGATATTAGACATTTATAATAATAATCGCACATTTCCATATATTTTTTTGCATAATAAAGCAGCTGACAAAGGTAATGGGATTTCGTGTTTATTATTATTTTGGTTAGCACAGTATGCCAGCCAGCCATCATTGTTGTTATTGTTTTATGACAACAAGTTAATAGGAAATATTTGTTTTTTCGCAAATACTAAATGTATATAAAAGTGAGATTTGTTGTTTGACGTGTTAGCCGCAAACAATTCTTTTGCATGAGTTGGATTTGCCCCCAAAATGAAAATTTTCACCAATATCTATTCAAAAAAGAGAGGCGTGTGTGATTTTTTTAGGTTTTTGGGTAGATCATCAATGACAAATGGCAAAACTTATCTACTTAACTCTAAGTTGATTGAGAGGGGCGGGGTATGATAATAAATAAAGAACAACAAGAACATTTTTAAATGTATATAAAAGTGAGATTTGTTGTTTGACGTGTTAGCCGCAAACAATTCTTTTCCATGAGTTGGATTTGCCCCCAAAATGAAAATTTTCACCAATATCTATTCAAAAAAGAGAGGCGTGTGTGTTTTTTTTAGGTTTTTGGGTAGATCATCAATGACAAATGGCAAAACTTATCTACTTAACTCTAAGTTGATTGAGAGGGGCGGGGTATGATAATAAATAAAGAATAACAAGAACATTTTTAGCGTTGTTTATCAAAAAAGAAACAAATAGATAAACGAAAGGTGTAAAGTGGTAGTAGCAAAAAACTGGTGATACATTAGTTCAAACTGAAAAGATTTTGTTTTGAATATATTATTGTATTATGTTAAAAGTCAGAAAAGCTATAG